AATCTACTACTTTTTAATCACTTTGGGGGGTCGAAAAATTATCTTTTTTTGCTCTCTGTGGGGAATCTGCCTTTGAACAGTACTGCTCTTACTGCTCTTCAGGCATTTACTTCTTTTGATTGCCATGAAATATAACCATGACTAGAAACTGAAGGAACGTGCTTCTTCAGTATTTATTCCCAGAACTGGAATCTTTGTAGTGTTTTCTTAAATGTATCATCCAGCTCTTAAATTTAATGACACATTCTAGGGCCTAACTTTTATATTTCTATTTGACTATAAAAGTTTTTTATTTGTGGTTTTAAACTCGTGGTTCTACCTGTGCAACAGTCGGTCAATGTTGAGTATCTTTTTTTTTTTTTTCCCTTTTCTTTTTCTTTTTTTGAGACAGAATCTCACTGTGTAGCACAGGTTAGCCTCAAACTTGATACTCTTCTACTTCAGCTTTCCAAGTGCTGGGATTATTGGTGTGCTGCCATGCCTGGCTCTATGCAACAGTTTGTTGTCTAGTTCTTTGTTGTTGTTGTTGTTGTTGTTTATTTTTGTTATGTTGTTGTATCTTTTTAAAAAATTTTTTTATTTTTATTTTATGTGTATGTCTATTGTCTGCATGTATGTGAGTGCACCTGTGTCATGCAATGCCGCAGAGATCAGAAGAGATTAGAAGAGGGCTTCTGATTCCCTGGAACTGGAGTTAAGGATGATTTGTAGCCACCATGTAGGTGCTGGGAATCGAACCTGGGTCCTCTACAAGAGCAGTCAGTGCTCTTAACCGCTGAGCCATCTCTCCAGCCCCATGTTGATGTATCTTAATTTTATTTTAAAATTTGTTTTATATTTTATTTTATTGTTTACTCTGTTTTCGATGTCAACTCTAGGTCATTGTATTTGATTTCAATTTTTCTCAATATAATTGGAAACTTGATTTTCTTATAGCGTTTAGAGGTAGAGTTTTGTGTTTTTGACAGAGATTGATTCTAGGTCATTGCCCTGCTTAGAGTAAAAATTGAAGCTTTAAATAATTATATTTTATTACCAATTCCATGAGTCATGCTATCTTAATTTTTTATGTGTTCTTCATAAAGATTTTCCATGTATTGCTGTATATATTTGTCATATAGACTTGAAAAAAAATCTACAAAAATAATTAAAATTTTAGGGCATAAAATGCTAAGACATGGGACTATTAATTACATTTATATTTGGTTTCTGTGGTTTAGCCAGATTGGTCTTTAAAAATAACTCTAGAAGCCTATTTTTTTTTTAAATCATTTTTGAAAGCAATGATTCTCAAATATGTAGAAACCATTTCACAAAATAATGTCGTTTTAAACAGTAGGCATATTGCTTTATATTTAGAATGTGCACACAGTGTTAGTTTGGAATATAATCTTATTCATTCATCTAACTTTGTATGCACAAATAACAATACCAGGGAGACAAACCAATTAGACTTAGTCATTCCCCTCCGAAAGCTCCTTAATGGGAGATATGCAGACATTCCCATTGCCATGTGGTAAGTGGTACAAAAGAGCATGTACAAAGATTAGGAGGAGGCTCAGAGAGGTGGATTAGCTTTGTTTAGAGAAAGGGAAAGCTTCCCTGAAAGGTGGTTTACAGGATGATGATAGCAAGATAAGCAAGAAGTCTTTGATGATGAGTGGTATGTATTCATCAAAGAAGAATGCAATATACAGACTCAGAGATAGCGTGTATTAGGGTAGCTTCAGGCAACGTTGAGCAGTTTAGCAGGTCAAGACTTTAGGGGTACACATGGTTAGGGAAAACAGGGTATTATTGTGTGCTTGGAAAGATAAGGTTTGTTTTTGTTTTTTTTTTTCTTTTTTGAGACAGGGTCTCTCTGTAGCCCTAGCTGGCCTAGAATTCACTAGACCAGGCTGGCTTTGAACCCACAGAGATCACCTGCCTCTGTCTCCTGTGTGCTGGGATTAAAGGCGGGATAAGGTTCTTGAATTTTGATGTGGCATTGGTTTTGTGCCTCATAGAGAAATAAGAACTTGACCTTTGGGTCCCTTGTAGTAGGATGGAGGAGTGCAGAATAGAAGCAGAAAGATGCATGAATGTCTTTTTGGGATGTTATTGCTAAAATGTAGACGAGAGAAGTTCTGAGTGGAGTAGTAGTTTAAAGAAAAGAGGAAAAGTATTCAGAGACAACAATTTTCTAGAAAGAATTGTTAGGGCCTTGTGACTGATTGGGCATAAGGCGAAGGGAATGATCAAGGATGACACAAATGCTTTAAATAAATAATAAAACATAAAGAGGCAATGTAGTTTCATATAAGTAGGAATATTGTCACTGTCTTTCAGGTGTTAGCTGTTCAGATGAAGATGAAAAACCCAGAAAACGAAGGCGAACAAACTCTTCTAGCTCCTCTCCTGTTGTCCTAAAGGAAGTTCCAAAGGCTGTTCCAGTCTCAAAGACGATCACCGTGCCTGTAAGTGGCAGTCCCAAGATGAGCAACATCATGCAGAGCATTGCCAGCTCCTTACCGCCTCATATGTCTCCTGTGAAAATAACCTTCACCAAACCATCAACACAGACGACAAACACAACAACGCAGAAGGTAAGTAGGTGGTGGAGGGAGTCTCTGCCTGTTGGTGGTTGTTTGTGTCTCTTTCAGACAGTATGATTTAGATTTGACAGTCATGTACTGAGTGTTTACTATGTGCTTGGCATTATGCTGGGAATGCTCACATTTCTTGTTTGTTTAATTCTGACCATAAAACTTTGAGATAGATATTATTTCACTTTTCAGAGGTGAGACTCAGATTCCAAATGATTTGCTGAAGATTATCATCTTCTAGTAGAGCTAGCAGATCTACTTCTGGACTTGTGTTGTATTTGATAATTATAATTCCATTTTGAAGAAAACTAGAAACGTTTTTAAACCTGTATTTGTGTGGCCTTAACTTAGGACTCAGTTTTTGCTTTGCCAGTTAGGTTGTTTCTTAGAAGAAAGAAGGGATATGATTAAATGTGAATACTTATCTTTTTTTTATTCTTTGTACACTGTCACGCATTCTAAACTCAAGTCATCAGTAGTCTGTCAATTTCGTGTTCTTTACAACCCTCAGTCTTCCTACATTAGTGTAGATTCTGATGACTTTCAAGGCTTGTTTTATACCTGTATTTGTGAGATTTCCCAACATCTTTCTGATTTTCCCTTTTTATTTATGTATTTTGCTAGATCTTATCCTTCAGTAGCTTCCTAGTGTTTTGGTGGCTAAGAAGTAGGTTTTCTGAGATCCTTGCATGACAAATTGTAAGCTTTATTTGGGGAAGTCATTTTTTCTTTTGAATTTTGAAGACATTCTTCTATTGGCTTCTGGTTTTCAGTACTGCTTTTGACAAACACACTATTGTATTTTTCAGCTTCTTTTTTTTTTGTCTTCAAACGGACCTTTTTGTTTGTTTTTGAGGCAGGGTCTCCCTGTAGCTCCAGCTGGCCTGGAACTTGCTGTGTAGACTAGCTGGCCTTGGTGCTAGGATTAAAAGCGCATGCCACCACTCCTAGCTTTGGAAACTCTTTAGAGTATTGAAATATTAAAAGAGTTATGGTCCTTGGATTGTGTCTTTATAGAGCTCTTTTGTTTAAAGCTCCTTCAGTTCTCAGACATTTTTTGAGTTCCTTCTTTCACTTTTCTCCATTTCCTTTTTGGATTACTTATTGAAGATTTAGAATTTCCTGAATTGATCCTTTAATTTGCTTTTACTTTTATCAGTCTTGCTTTCTTTGCCCCCCACCCCCACCACTGTAGCATAGTGGCTCAAAGTATGGATTTTGGAACTAGACGTTCTTAATCCCAGCTGTTGCCACTTACTAGTTCTGTGATTGTGGGAAAAATAAACTATACCCATTCTGGTTTTCTATGTGAAATAGAGAAGAAACGTATGTTTGTAATATTTTAGATATAATGAATTATATAAAACTTAGGATAAAACCTAGCCCAGGTAGAAGTGTATTACTGTCGTTTTCTGTACCCTTGATCCTTATCCTTTGTTACTTGTATGGAATTTTTCATTTTCACTATTGTATTTTTCTTGGAGAAAGGGCCTCATTATGTGGCCAAACTGGCTTGGAACTTTCTATGTAGCTTACGCTGACTTTGAATGCCTGGTTCCTGATTGCTGGGGGTCACAGGCATGCATTAGCACTCTTGGCAACCATACTTTAAATTCGGATAATTCTTCCTTATTCTTTAAATGTTCCCTTTTTTTCTTTTTTGAAATAGCATGCTTTTTGATGGTATGATTGTATTCATTTGCTTATATTTATAATTGTTTTGCTTTTTTTATGTTCTTTATCTTATCTGTTAGTTCCTTTTATCTATTTTGATCTTTTTCTGAAAAATTTCCTTTAGTGTCTGGCTGTCGGCTTATATGAAACTGGCTACATTTACTATCCATCTGCCTCTACTGTCCTTAGGGTTTTTCCTGGATTGGTCAGATTTCATCAGAGAAGAATCTTCCAATTTCCTGCTTTGAGTAGTAGCCTGGCTGCCTGTGATTTGGAGTAAATGGAGGAAGAGTGCTGTGTGGCCATATCTAATTCATTATGCTTTCTGACTACTTAATTTGGTTTTAATATGGAACTTGTCTACCTCACCTGTGCCTGGTGCCATCTGATTCCTTCAGGGTATGGGAGGACAGCTAGGGACTCAGGTGCCTTTTAAACAGATATTCAACTAATTTCCTTGTGTTTCCCCGTTTGCTGCCACTTCAGCAGTATCTGGTTCTCTCAATTCCTAAGTCGCTTGGGGATAAGGCAAGTTGTCTTTTCTTTTTTTCTCTTCTGTTTACTGCCTTAGGTTCTCACCTTCTTGAGTGTGCTTGATCTATTACTATCGTCTGTTTGCTTGCTTCCAAAAACCTTATCCCCCCACTCTTGTGCACACACTGTATTTTTATCTGTCTGTCTGTCTCTCTGTGTCTCTCTTAATCTCTGGGGTCTTAATATGTTACGCAGGCTGGTCTTCAGCTCTTAAACAGTTCTGCCTCAGCTTCCTTCACAGCTGGGGCTACAAAGTTTGGTCGTGCCCCCCCCCCCCCCCCTTAAAAAAAAAAAAAAAAAACTTTTATAAGATTTTTTGGGGGGGGGCGGGGG